AATCGTAGATTAACTAGTGAAATAGGGATTGTAACAACTGCAAAGAAAGTGTATCAAACTCAAATAGCTGATAGGGATCTGCTCCTTAAAGAGGCATTGGCCCGAGAAGAAAAACTGAAACAAGAGGTACAGACTCTGAAACAGGAGCTGAACACCTACAAACGCCAAATCCAAATGATGGATACCACGTCTACACTTGACGAAATCCTTGAGTCTGGAAGAAAGACTTCGGCAAAATTTGGGATAGGTTTCACAGGAAACAGCTCAAAAGACAAAACGGTGTTTGTCAAAGCGTCAGGCCTTGGTCGAGGAGATATTCCAGAGTCTAGCACAGCGACACGTCGCGTTGGTACAGTAAGATCACTCAAGCCATATTACAAATCTTATAACCCGGTATGTCATTATTGCAGGTTACGGGGTCATACCAGACCAGAATGCTACTACTTCTACAAGGATCAAAGAATCGAGAAGTTCAAAAACAAGAACATTCAACCCTTTACTAGACAAATCTGGGTGAAAAAGACAGATTATATCTCATTCGTATCCTTTCACTCCAAAAGTACAGGCCGAGAAGAAAAATGGTACTTTGATAGCGGGTGTTCACGTCATATGACGGGAAATGCTAAATTTCTGAGTAACGTAAACACAAGCAAAGGTGAAGTTACCTTTGGCGACGGTATAAAAGGACAAGTCACTGGTATAGGCACGCTAAATGTAGTTGGTCTGCCAAAACTGGAGAAAGTTCTACTAGTCAAAGGACTACATGCAAATCTTATAAGTATAAGTCAACTATGTGACCAGAACTGGAACGTGAGCTTCAACAAAAATAGTTGCAGTGTCCTAGACAAAGCAAATCAATGTGTTATGGAAGGTACAAGGTCAACTGATAATTGCTATATTCTTACTAACAATGTTTTGTCTTGCAGGATCAATGTAGATGAAACTGAGCTTTGGCACCAAAAGCTAGGACATCTAAGTTACAGACTTCTCGACAAACTTGTGAAAATCGAAGGTGTCCGTGGATTACCCAAGCTGAAAATCAAACCAACCATATGTGGTGCATGTCAAGCAGGAAAGCAAACCAAAACCTCTCATCCAGCGCAGCACACTATAAACACAAGTCACTGCTTGGAACTGATCCACATGGATCTCATTGGTCCAACTCAAACAGAAAGTGTTGGAGGTAAGAAATACATACTAGTTTGCGTAGATGATTATTCTCGTTTTTCTTGGGTTACCTTTCTCAGGGACAAGTCCGAAACTCTCGAAGCCTTTAAAACTTTGGCTTTAAAGCTCCAAAAAGAAAGAAATGAGCCCATCATTCGAATCCGAAGTGATCACGGACGAGAATTCGACAACAACCTGTTCGATACCTTCTGCAACCAAACAGGAATCACACATGAATACTCAGCTCCGAAAACACCTCAACAAAACGGAGTCGTTGAACGAAAGAACCGCACAATTCAGGAAATGGGACGAGTTCTGCTTAATGCCAAAGGACTACCTCAAAAATTTTGGGCAGAAGCTGTGAATACAGCATGTCACATCATCAATCGGGTCTATCTACGTCCAGGCACGAATCAGACTCCGTATACATTATGGAAAGGTAAGAAACCAAACATTAAATATTTTCATGTTTTCGGATCACGTTGTTTTATCTTGAAGGATCGAAACCCTGTCGCAAAGTTTGAAACAAAAAGCGATGAAGGCGTCTTCCTCGGCTATTCAACGAACAGCAGGGCATATCGTGTATACAACAAAGTTACCAAAACCATTATGGAGTCCACAAACGTTGTAATCGATGATCAACCGAGTGATATTATCACAACGTCTCGTCCTGAACCAGTGACAGAACCTGACTCAAGTTGTCCTGAACCTAATCCAGAGTCTCCTATGCCATCTCTCATCTCAACTCAACCAGAGCAAGAAACTGAGTCTGAGTCTGAATCTAACACTGATCATGGTAACGTTGATATCCCTACTCGTATCCAGAAAGCTCATCCAATACAAAACGTAATTGGAGATCCTAGTTCCGGCGTAAAAACCAGAGGTAAACCGAAACGTGATTATCTTCAATTAGCGGGATATTCTTGTTATACTTCCCAGATTGAACCAAAGAATGTCAAAGAAGCTCTAACAGACGAACACTGGATCAAGGCCATGCAAGAAGAACTGGGGCAGTTCGAACGAAATAAGGTATGGACTCTAATTCCTAAACCTGACAATGTTAATGTTGTAGGTACCAAATGGATCTTCCGCAACAAAACCGACGCAGCTGGCAACATAGCTAGAAATAAAGCGCGACTTGTGGCCCAAGGCTACTCCCAAATCGAAGGAATCGACTACGACGAAACATTTGCCCCTGTTGCACGGCTAGAGTCAATACGACTCCTTCTGTCGATTGCCTGTGCCTTAAAATTCAAGTTGTTTAAGATGGACGTTAAAACAGCCTTCTTAAACGGATATCTCTCGGAAGATATATACGTTGCTCAGCCTAAAGGGTTTGAAGATCCACATCATCCAGATTATGTCTACAAATTACAAAAAACACTCTATGGCTTAAAACAGGCCCCAAGAGCCTGGTATGAGAGACTCACTCAATATCTTCTTCAGAATAGCTACAAAAGAGGAGGATCAGACAAAACATTATTTATAAAACAATCAGGTAAACACATAACAATTGCTCAAGTGTATGTAGATGATATCGTTTTTGGATCCACACAACCAGGAGAGACAGATCAGCTAGTCAAGGTAATGCAACAGGAGTTTGAAATGAGCATGATAGGCGAACTCACCTATTTCCTTGGATTACAAGTAAGTCAAACTAAAGAAGGGATTTTTATTTCACAAGAAAAATACGCGAAAAATCTTCTATCAAAATTTGGGCTTGAATCTGCAAAGGATGCTCGTACGCCTATCTCCACGACTACTAAATTGTTCAAAGATGAAAAAGGAACGTCTGTAGACTCTACTATGTACAGGAGTATGATAGGCAGTCTATTATACTTAACCGCTAGTCGTCCTGATATTATGGTAAGCGTTGGTATGTGTGCACGCTATCAAGCCAATCCGAAAGAGTCACACCTAAAGGCGGTAAAACGTATTATAAAATACGTTAAAGGTACGATAAATTATGGTATTTGGTACTCGAACGATACTAATCTGAATCTTGCAGGGTACAGTGATGCTGACTGGGCAGGAAATGCTGATGACAGAAAAAGTACATCAGGCGGATGTTTCTTTATCGGAAAAAATTTAGTCGCCTGGCTAAGTAAAAAGCAGAACTCGATTTCTCTTAGCACAGCTGAAGCTGAGTATATAGCGGCGGGTAGTTGCTGTACACAATTACTTTGGATGCGCCAGATGTTAACTGACTATGGTATAGAACAACAAAGTATGACATTGTTCTGTGACAACACCAGCGCAATCAACATCTCAAAAAATCCAGTTCAGCACTCCAGGACGAAACACATAGATATCCGACACCACTTTATTCGTGAACTAGTCGAGGAAAAAGAAATTATCTTGGAGTATACCTCAACAGATAAAAATCTTGCAGACCTATTCACCAAGCCGTTAGACAAATCGAGATTTGAACTGCTCAGAGCTGCCCTTGGAGTCTGCAATCCCACGGCCTAATTTTTTTTCACATCAGGTATCACAAATAATGTCGAATTAAATTTTTTTCTAACGTGGTTGTTGACTTTGTGTTACAGGGAAAATAAATTTCTAAAGCTCTCCTATTTCCGTTTTAATTTCCTCACCTTTTATCTCTCTATTTTAGCTAAAACGCAATTGAGGATCCTATATATCCATGTTTCCTTACCCGGCTCTATCTACAAAATTAACATGTGGACTGAAATATCAATTTGAAACAACTTCCATCTCTCTCTCCTATTATAACTCTACTTTCTAGCCTTACCACCTAGTCAAATCCTTTCCCTCCTTCACGGCTTTTGAGACCCATCACCTCACCATCATATATCAACAAATTAATGCTTTGTCTCTTTAGCTCCCTTACTCATCACCACCGTCACTCTCATCTTCTTCCTTAGATCTTCTTTCACAAATTTCTCCAACAATGGAAGATGACAACCCTTTCGCCATATTCACCACCAAATCCGAAAGATTGGAGCTTTTTCGCCATATCATCAACGCTGAATCTCCCCTTACCTCTGATGATACGGATCGAGTTCTAGCCACAATCAAGCACCATGCAAGCCTTCTTGAAGGTCTCTCAGATAGGGAAATCAGACAAATTCAAGCTCTTGCTTGGTTCATATCAGTGGAGCCGTGGACTTTTCCGACCGAATCAACTAAGCCCCCACAGCCACAATCCGAGTTTGTTCATGCCTCATCTCCTGAAACCATGGTAGTATCCTCACCTTTAGATGAGTCTGTTTCTGCTTCTAGAAAATTGAATTTCAACATTAATTTGCCAAATCAGTGTGTGTCTACCTCCAGTGATATGTGTGCCCCTCTCTTTCCCGATGATCCATATAATGCTTCGTCTAATTTGCCTGATAATCTTGTTTCATTGTCTGATTTTGTGCGTAATGTGACCACACCCTTCTCAATTCGAAATATTACCTAGTTTGTGTCTCCCATGACTTGTGCTGCATTTTCTATTCCCATTACCATTCCTGTTCCGTCTCCAAAACCAGTAGAGGCCTCCATTCCAGTATCCACAGCCCATGACACTGTTCCAATCATATCTGTGCCCGTGAGCAAATCTTCCCGAAAAGGGAAAGAAAAACTTACTGTTTCAGGTACAGCCGGGAAAAGAAAAATTGGAGCATTGGAGGATGTTACCTGCCTGTCTGATTCCAAGCAATCAAAGAGAGAGCCCACATTGCCACCCAGAATGACAAGATCTCGATCAGTTTCAGTCCCAGTACCAGGTCCTGCTCCTACACCAGCTACTGCTTCTGGTCTTTCTGGCTCAAAAAAAGAAACAACCCAAGAAGACATATCATCCTGTTTTACTGTCACAAGAGTTGATGCACGACTGGAGAGTTCATGCTACGCGAGAGTTTATTTTGGAAAAATCCATCAATGTGGAGGAGTTGACAGAAAAATGCAACATTGTTCCTATTTTGCGTGATCAGTTTCTGCTTGCATCACTTGTACATATTGGCCCATATTCCAGATGGCTCACTGCCGAGTTCTACACCAACTTAACCTTGGATACTTTCTCGGAGGGATCACCGCGATTTCAACAAGTCTTCATTCGGGACAAATGGTATCCCCTAAGTCCGGCCGTGATTAATTCCTATTTGGGTACTCCAAATCATCAAGCTGCTCCTGACCCAAGTCCAAATCTGCTAGCCGCTGCTTTAACTCACAACAAAATTGTCACGTGGCCTAACACCGGACTTGAAAGCCTAAAGCTCACCACGGTCTATTCAGTTCTTCTCCGAATTGCCTCAGCTAATTGGATGCCTGCTGTTCGTCATCATCTTGTGTCTGACCAGCTTGCTGCCCTTCTCTACAAGATCAGGAATCGCCTTCCTATCAATCTAGGAGAAACCATCTTTGGCCACCTTGCGCATTTTGTGCGTCATAGGGAACCCAAGGTACATCTACCGTTTCCTAGTCTCATTTTTGGACTTCTGCAGGAACACGGGTTCAAGCCCTACACAGATGAAGTAGTGATTGCTAATGACTCAATCTACAAGTATGATGACCGTTTGACGAACAAGGATCACTATGATGATAGAGCTACACTCATGATCACTCCCAATGTACCGTCTGCCACACCTCCGGTGTCTGCCCCTGCCTCATCTGCTGACACTGGTTCTGCGCCTGTTCCACGTCCAGCTGCAGTGATCAAGGAACCTCAGACGCTCATGGATCGACGTCAAATTGTCCTCACTCTTCAAGCATCAATAGCTCAGATTCGCACATCGGTTGCATCTCAACAAATTACCATTGATGGCTTAGAAAAATTGTTGGGTGCTGAGTTGGAAGAAATTGCCCGAATGGAGGCCATATATGCTCGTCTTCGATCTACTACATCCACTGCTGGCGCTGACACTGGGTCTGTTTCTGAGAGTGATGAATCTGAATCGGGTACCCCGTCTGCAAGTTAATCCAATCCACTAGTATGATGTTCACCAGGTTGTTTGTCATTTATTTGGCATAAACAAAGGGGGAGTATTGGAGAAAGGGGGAGTATGTCTAAGTTTGGATGTTTGGTAAGTTTCTGGATGGTATTTAGTATGGATTATGTTATTAATAATTTGGTATGACTATAACTATTTTTGGTATGACTATGAATGACTTAAGAATGAATGACTTGGTATATTTGGTATGTTGACTACATGGTATAAATTGGTTTTAATTGGAATGGTTGTGAAGAAAGGAAAGCTTCAAGTTAGGGGGAGTAATTTTCTATTACAGTATGGAAAGCGTGACACATATGGAAAGCGTGACACATTACATATTGGTTTTCCATTACAGTATGGAAAGCGTGACACATATGGTATGTTTGATACAACACTAATTCGAGCAGAATTTTCTATTCATTAATTAAGTGAAGCATGTGAGTCAACATCAACCAAGGTCCAAAGTAAAAGTCCACACACATATAAGCTTTTGAAGTGTTAAATCTGCATATTTAATTTTCTTTATATGTTAAGTACGTATACTATGGGATTTTAATAAAAAATTGTTCGTTCCTTTTTCCCTAAGTATAATGATACTATTGTTTTACCAAATAAATTGCCAAAGGGGGAGATTGTAAGTGTACAAATAAGTACACATTAGATTGGCTAATTTATTAATTTATTTTATGTAAATGTTAGTTAGCATGAATTGTAATTAATAGTTTGGACCAAGCTAAAATGTGTGGTGGAGGTTTATTGGAAATGATTTAGACAAAGAGCAAGTCTGAAGATCAAGTTAAAAGAAGATGTGGTTGAGAAGATTTCAAGCCACATAAAGAAGCTACATTCAAGGCTTGGTGGAATGGGGATTTCGTACACTATAAAAGGAAGGGAAATCAAAAGAGGAAGTTGCCAATTCTGAATTTCTATATCCATACGCAAGCTTCCTTCAATACTGCTTTAATATTGATTATATTAATTGTGATTTAAATCTGTACTACGAGTTAGTACCTGTGACAGCTGAAGTGCTATACCAAAGATGTTTATGGCATGCACGGTTCAGTCCTGAGTAGGTGTTTTAGAAGAGTTGTAGTGGTAAAGGCTGTGAGCCGTTTGTAGTTACCTCTTGTAGTACTCTGTGGTGAACATCTAGTGGATTGGGCAGACGTGGGTTGCCCCGCAGACGTAGGAGAAGGAGCTCCGAACTGCGTAACAATTCTACTGTGTCTTTACTTTATTTACGCTTTCAATTTCGTTATTTATATGTTGATTGAATTGATTTAATTAAACAGCGAAATTGTCTAGTAATATAAAATCAAGTAGAATCCTTAGTGTTAAATTGATTTCAAGATACACGGGCTTTTTCAAATTTAATTGGCTGCAATTGGTTCTCCGTTCTTTCCCGGGCATTCGTAATTCTTGAACCCGCTCATATATATATATATATATATATATATATATATATATATGTGTGTGTGTGTGTGTGTGTGTGTGTGTGTGTGTGTGTGTGTGGTGGAATTGGGAGAGGCAACTGTTCTCACACTAGATATTCCGATTGCCAATCTCAGTGCACTCTCATCACTTACTCTCAAATAGCTCTTAAAATGTGCAAGTTTTTACCTCTGATCAAATATCTTTTCAAGTTTTTAACTCTCAAATTTCACCATGGTATATAACCCAAAGCTTCACCAACAAACTTATGGTAACATTGACCCATTCTAGAAGCCAATGTACTAGGGAGAGTAAAATAAAAACTGGCCACTGTATATGACATTGAGAGTGGAGACCACTTTAATTACATCATCAACAAATTATTATAAAAAAAAAATTGTATGTAATTATAAACGCAATAATAGTGTTGGGTACTTAATGAGTTAATGGTGCCTACCAATTATTCGATTAGTAATTAAAAGTAGAAGCAGATGGAATAATTAAGATTAGACTTTAATTAAAGTGCAGATGAAGTGAAAGAACGTATTTAGTGTCTAAAGTGAGAAGCTTATCTCGAACAAAAAATGAAAAAAAAGGGAATAGGTACTTAGGTAGCTAGGTAGCAGACAAGGAGCAAATTCCACCCTGAATTTCCACGTCTGTCTTCACTTTAGTGAAGCAAATTGAATATTGAAAAGGAAAATGCTGCTTTTAATCATTACTTTACATAGATATGTTAATTGTCAGAAAAAAAAAAAAAAAAAAGGATATGTTAAACGTAAAATATTTTTTGGGCATTTGATATTTTTATCATGTGATAATAGGGCCCTTTTTTGAAATTTGGTGGCCTCATTCTTGTAAATAAATAATTTGGTGGCCTCATTCTTGTAAATAAATGAGACACTACTAAAAGTATAAACATAATCTTTAAAATCAAATCATAAGGGAAGCGTTTGGTTCAGGTTATATATATATATAAGATAACTAAAATTATATTTGCTTGGTAATATAAGATTTTCACGTTTAGTTCAAGTTCTGTAACTTTCATATGGAATGTCAGATAACCTCCACATTAAGTTTTTAGCTATGTGAAGGGAATGTGAGATACCCTTCAATTTCTTAGGTAATCTCACATTCCCTTGTCTTATTACTAATGTTGGGCTTTGAACGTTTTAATCAATTATCTTATTACCGTTGTCTTATTTACATATCTTAGTTTTAAACTAAACACAGGAATCTAGCATTCCCAGTAATGTAACATTCCTAGTAGTCTAACATTCCCCGCCCTATCCCCAATATATATAAATATAAATAAATAAATAAATATATTGATGGGGGTATGAGACTCCATGGTCCATTTTATTGACAAAATATTGACCCACGCGGGGGTGGTGAATGAAGGAGATTGGCCCAAATCTTATTGGGCTAAGAAGACAGGCAGGCTAGCCCAAAAAAAGGCACAAAAGAGGAGAGAAACGAAGTTGTCGGGGCAAAACTCAAGATTACTGACCGACGACGACAGTGCGCCTCCGACGCGGCCAGTGAAGGGGAGAAGCCAGTAGAAGGCAAGAGCAAAATGAGGTAAAGGAAACCCAAGACCTCTTGCATAGCAGGCGCACTCCAACCCACCAAGCACGCCAACACTTGTGTACCAAGGTGCGCGACCATGTATTTGTTCCTATAATTTCAGGCGGGCAGCTTTGACCACCGGCCACGGCGCGACCAGCGGGGGTGTTGCGCCCCCGGGCATGTCAATGGCGCCCCCCTTTCCCAAGGGGGCGCTAGGCGATGTTCAAATTGGGTCGTGGGGTTGTCAGGGTCGCGTGGTGCGGATGGTATGGTGTGGCGCTACGACGAACGTGCCCGCATGCGGCGATGGATACGAGAAGTGGCGAGCGAGGGTAAGTACATGGGACTAGGGGTGTGCAAACTTCGGATAATTTTTGGTTAACCGACCGACCCGACAAAGTTCGGTTAACCGTTTTCGAACCAAACTTTTTTGGTTCGGCTAATGGTTAAAGAAATTTTAAAACTTCGGTTAACTGTTAATTCGGTTCGAAAGGTCGGTTAACCGAAGTTTTTAATATATATATAAATAATAATATAAATGTAAATACTAATTTGAAGTTATGGATGTTTGGAGTTTATTACTAATGTTTTTGTATATTTTGTTATGAATTTATTATGATATGTATTTTATTTTAATTGGATTTATTATTTTAGGTGTTATTTTTATAATTTTAAATTTTAGCTTTAAAAAGTTCGATTAACCGAAAAAAATTTCGGTTCAGTGAATTCGATAGAGCAAACTTCGGTTCGATTAACGGTTAAAGGAAAAAAAAATTTCAGTTAATTCGGTTCGGTTAACCGATTGAACACCCCTACATGGGACACGTGGATGTTAGGAGAGGAGATGTGGCAGGCTATAAATAGGGGCCCTGGATTCTTAACAAGGGAGGACAAGGAACACGACAGGCACACTGGTCTTGTGGTCTCTAGTCTTTACTCTTAACCTAGCTACCTAGGTTCGATTCTTATCAGTAGCATATTTAGCTATAGCTCACCCTGTGGTCCGCCATTCTAGGCTTTGTACGTACTATTCACCCTGTGGTCCGACATTCTAGGCTTTGTACGTACTATTTTGGACTTAGCGCCCTGAGTAATAAAGTTACTCTTTTCCTACCTCTTTCTATACCTCTATACTCGATTTATGGTAGATCCGGTCCCGATAAAACCATCATATATATATATAAATATAACTAGTCCCCATGTGTGAATTGTGAACTAATCTTATGCACTTATCATTTTTAATTAGATTGCCTAGATTTGATTTCATATATAAGATCATATTAACTCATGTTTGTTTTTAAATAAGGGTAGTAGTGTCTTTTTGTTTTTTTTTCCACATTTTCTTAATTTGTTCCCTATTTTTGTAGATCATCCTTGTTCCGAATTTGAGCCGCAATTTTTTCATCATTGATCGAGTGTTTGTCTATGAAAAGTAGTCATCAGTATTTTTTATTCATTTTTGCTTGTTCTTTTGGAGTATAATATTACCTATATTTAGATGTTATTGTGTGTGTGAGAGAGAGAGAGAGAGAGACCCAATAGTGCAAGTTGTGCAATTCATTGATGTGGATTATGCTAGCGTGTGTGAATTATCAAACGTATTTCAGTTTTATTTGTTCTCAGTTTAGCTAGTGACAGGATCACGAGGTCGGTTATAAACATTTAATGTACTAAAAATGGACATATAATATCAAATAATGAACTTTATGTCAATGACACATTTTATAAGGTGGATTATTATGGTTCATGGTATAATGATTGATATGAATCTTTGCCAATTAAGTGCAAAATAATGTTCATTTTTAGTATAGAAAGTAAATTACATAAAGGAAGTTCCTTAAAAAATGAAGTTTCAATAATGCATCAAAAAGGAAAATTGTAATTTATGCCCATCCATAATATGTCAATTATTAATGTCACCCCTGAATTATTAGTGGTGTAAATGTTGCCCTTTAATTTTCAAAACAGTACATATATTGCCACTCCCGTACCGTACGGAAGGGTCAATATATGTACCGTTTTGAAAATTCAGGGACAACATTTACACTTGGGAGGGGCAATATATGTATTATTTTGAAAATTGAGAGACAACATTTACACTACTAATAATTCAGAGGTGACATTGATAATTGACATATTATAGAGGGACATAAATTACAATTTTCCCTATCAAAAATGAACTTTCGGTATACTAAAATTAAACTTTATGTCAATAGTTTACCTTACCATGTGAATCAGGATCCATGGTATAACGATAACGTTTGGTTCATGGAATAAATAACCTGGGAATGAAATAATATTGTTGAGATAATTGGAGATCAAACAGCATACAAACGCAAAACCTGCTGGATAGGAGTGCGACAGACAGGGCAACCCCAGTTCTTGGCTTTGATCTCAATCAAACATGCCATGCATCCAGCCATATGCCCACACGGCACACAAGCTCCCTCTATTCCACCCTCAAAGCACACCACACACGATGATGATGATGATGAAGATGATGACGACGAAGAACTACTACTCCCCCCTCCATCTTCTCTACTCGAAACCTTTTCTGTTTTTGGCGAAAACGAATCAATTACCAAACCAGAACCCACCCATCTTTCCCCCTTCATGTTACTGGAGCATGTTTGTTGCCTGGGCGCACCATTGCTAGTCTGGGGAACATTCACCGTAACCGCTGATAATCTTCCCTGCATTGCCTGAGAATGTATAGCCAATAGAATTAGTAATAGCTGCAGAAACAATTCAATCAAGTTAAATTAACCATACCTGCTGATCATCTTTGTGGCCTGCTGGAACAGGTTCATTCGAAGCATATGCTTTGTTCAGTCGAGAAATTTTTGGTTCCACTTCCGCTCTCAAAGTCTCTAGCTCCTTTAATGCTAGCAATAATTTCTGCACCAAAACCATATTCAAATAAGCTAGCCCCCTGGGCCCTGCCTATATATATATATAATGTTCCTTACATCAAAAATTTTACACAACCTGAAGTTATATGCAATGACTAAACTTTTTTCCCCTAAATCGAATTGAACTAACCTTCTTGTAGTAATCTTTTTCTGGTTTATTTGAGCGTGTAAAATCTTTATGGCAGGGTATAGTTTCAGATAGAAGACTGCAATTAAATTCAAGAAAACCGAGAATATCCCATTAGTGCAAATGCTTAATATATATAGAAGCATTTTGGTAGTGGAAAGCAAAGCATTATATTATTACTCCGTATAATTTTTTGGGTCACCAGGGCAGGGAAATCCACAGTTACTATCCGAGGGTGTGTATTGAATAAAATAATAAATCTCGTCTTATGACTTAGTCAAAAGGAGGTAAACCAGCCTAGATTATCCATAGCTGATAGGCTCAAACTAAGAAGACCAATAGGCTACTCCGGTTAGAAGTCGAACTTGTAAACGTGTGGTTACCCATCAACAATCTTACCAACTTAGTTGAGGCTGTCACCAAAAAGAAGGTTGGGAATGTAGCACAAAGACTTCCCAGGAAATGACTCATTCTAATACTACTCTCGCTTAAACATGCTTAGTTTAGTAGTTGAGATAGAATTCGGTGCACTAGTGCTAGTATGATCGCATATTATTTTGTTACATACCTTGAAAATTTAAGAAGCACAATATAAAGATCTACCACATTCTTCATGTCCCGATGTATATTTGCCTGACAAGAAACCCCATGGTTTAATTAACACTGTGAGTATAATATATATGCAATAATCCCTAAATCAACCTTCAATCAGACAACCAAATTAACAGTACTAGCTGCAGGGTCTCTAAAAACAATTTCTGGTTTTGATTAATTATACAAACAGTAGAGTTACATGATCAGTATAGAATATCATGATTTCATGCATATTATATTAAAATTAAAACAAGATATAATTTCAAAGTGTAGGAAGGAGGAAAGGATCGGACCTCTTGGAGAAGGTTATCGGCGATCCGATAATAATACCGGAGAGACACTCGATTGTCAACGTCAAGTTTTCGAGTTGCTTCCGGTATGTTGATCGGCTTCCCCGCCGTGCTCATCGTGTCTGACCCTCCGCCGCCGCCAGTAGCGCCGCCGCAAAAGTCAACCTCTGGTAGCTGTAGTTATATTGCGGGTTTTCTCTTCTGCTTAAATTAGTTATGAAATTTCTCGATCAGATAATGAAGTCTGACTTTCTGTTAGAACGCGTAGATCCAATATAATAATGTTAAAAGTCTTTCGGTTGTTATTAACTTTGGAATTTGTAATTCACAAATATATCATTATTAATGTTATCCCTCCCGTCAAACAATTAATGTTATCTATGAATTATTAATGGTATAAATGTTGTCTATTAATTTTTAAAATATGACATATATTGTCAAAGTATAAGTTATACGTGTATTGTCAAAATGTTCTTAGTAATGTAACCAGGTCCAATAAATAAATAAATAATAATGATAAAAGAAGACAAGAAACTTACTAGACATAGGAGTTTGACAGAAAATTGGTGGAGTGGTCAGAATTACTATGTGTGATGAAGGTTTATATTGAGGGGAGGCATAAACAAAAAAAAGAATGGAAATATTTGAAAATAAAAAAGAAGAAAAGAAAATATTTGGAAAATAAAAATATATATTCTAGATTTCGATAAAGATTAAAATTCCTAAGTTACTTAGAAATCTTTGATGCATGATCTTTGATATTGTTATTACTCTCAAGCTAGCTCAAACACATTCACAAACTCGGGACTAGGGTGACTGGTGACAGAATAATGGGATAAGCACCTAACCTGGGATCACCTCAATGAGGCCAACGAGCACCTGACCCGGAACCACCTCGAGAAAGACAACGGTCAGAATCATTTACTACGAAATCATAAGGCTAACAGTCAGAATTATTTACTACAGAGTCATTTACTACCGCTTATTCAAGACAGGACATTATGGTGAATAAAGTGTTCGACTCCTCATTATAATTATGTAGCCGTTACTTATGTAAATTTGAATTGTGAACATTCAGTATGTAAATTGTGAACATCCAGTATATAAATTGTGTATTTTTTATTCGGGGTGAGTCAAGAAAATATAAGGTGTGTCGGGTGATGGATGTAGTCATTCTCGACTCACTCCCGACCCATTGACATCCCTAATTGTGCATAGCACCATCTTTACAAAAGGATTCCAACACTGTTACCCCTTCTAGCTGCCCGCAAACCCAGTTACTTCATTTGTAATTTGAGTAAAATAGGGGCTGACGTTTTGAAATTCGATTTAGTTTTTTTCGGTTAGGTTTCGGCATTAAAAAAATGATACCATTCAATTTAACATTATATATAGTTTGATTTTGATTTAGAATTAGTTCGATTCGGTTTAAGAACTCAAATTTTTAACATTTCTTAATTTTCCAAACACCCTACTAAACAATACATTTTCACATAATCCAAATGCAAAGTCTAAACACTATACAACAAAATGGCAATCCAAATTTCAAATACACTACTAAGTGAGCCAACTGAAGAGTCGGTTTGGTTAATAAGTCAACTGATGTTTGGAGAACAAATGTCAAAAACTGTATAGCTAATTTTTTAACACAATCTGTCATTGCTTGGCAAAATATATTTTCAGTGCACTGGAAATCAAAATTAGAATGATGTTGAAGCACATTAATTTTATATAAACATGAAACTAAGGAAAATACTGAATATGGTAAGAATAACTCAAGTTAGAGATAATTAATTGTGAGATAAAGAACAATTACAGAAAATAACAAAAGTGCAAGTAGAGAACAAACAATAAAGAAAAAAATATTTAAGAGATATACCAATGAGAATAAGAGCTGAACTGCACAAACAGGACTTGGATTTACTTCTTTTTATTATTATTATTATTATTATTATTATTATTATTATTATTATTATTATTTTAAAAAAATAAAAATCAAACGGTACTGCGGTTCGGTTCGATTTTTTGCCAAACCGTTCAGTTCGATTCAATTTTTTGAGGAACCGTTTGGTATATAAGAATCTATACTGTTTGATATATTATCAAACCGAACTAGTTTGATTTGCTACAATTAGGTTCGGTTTGATTCGGGAAAACCGAATCGAATTGTCCACCCCTAGAATAAAGTATTTTTGTTTTAATCCAAACTTGAAATTTTAAGATGTTCTAACTTCTACCTTAAAGGAGAATATTGAATCTTTAATTTCATTTTATGTCTAATTTAATTAAGGAACCCAAACTTTAAAAAAGTGTGATTAAACCTTTAAACATGTCAAATTAAGTCAATAAAACGCATGAACCGATAAATAACCTGTAATAACAGGTTATTTTAATTCCGACAATAAAATCCGATAATCGGCGACGACTGGAAGGCGACCAGTTGGTCACCTTCCCCTGTCGCCTTCTCCAGGGATGGCGACTAGTTCTGGTCACTTTCTCCTGGAGAAGGCGAAAAGGATGCCTTCCCCGAATTTTATCACCGAAATTAAAATGACCTATAATAATAGGTCATTTATTGGTTCATGGATTTCATTGACTCAATTTGACATGTTTGATGGTTTAATTGCACATTTAAAAACTTAGGTGTCTAATTGACTTTCAGTGTAAAGTTTAGGAGCCTATTTGACTCATTTTTGAAAAAAAAAAATAAAAATTATTGTGTTTATTACTCCCTCTGTCTCATTTTATGTGTTTAGTTCAGTTAACGAGGTTTGACTGAATTTTTTTTTTAACTCAATTTTTCATAATATTAAGTTAAGTATTAATATACAAAATTTATATATTTAGAAACTATACTAAAAGTACTATTAAATACAAAAAATAAATTTAAAAATAAATAAAAAAATAATAATAAACAAATAAACAAATATGAAAGAATTGTTTGACCAATGAATAGTAAGTATGACAAATAAAATGGGACAGAATGAGTATTATTTAAAAAAAAAAAAAAAAATAACACTATACTAAAACGAACTTAAAAAACATTTTTTTTTTTTGTTGTAGTCTAGGATTTCCACTATCAAACAGAGTGACTAATCCACTCGTAGGCACTTCTGTTGGGTGAGACAATTGGCCTGAAAATTTAAAGCTGCTCCATATCCAAAGCAAAAATTCGAACATTTAATCTTTGGAACCCCAAGTTTAAAAAATAAATAAATAAATAAAATCCCACCCAAGTGGAGGACTTTTTTATGGAAAGCCATAAGTGATATCCTTCCCACTACCATCAACTTGCGTATTAAAATGGTGAATATTAGTCCGGTGTGTGCTGTGTGTGGTGTGGAAAATGAAGATGTTATGCATGCATTGGTTTTGTGTGACTATGCAAAAATCATTTGGGCACAATCTAACCTCCCATTACCGAGCACTGTGACAAATATTTTTTATGAGTGGTTTGATGAATTGTTGAATATTCTAGATTCTGATGGAATTCTCTACGCAGCTGCGATATTATATTATCTATGGAGAACCCGGAACGAAGCGGTATGGAATGCTCGTGTAACTCACCCGAGGAGGATGCTGGTTGCGGTCCGTGTAGCTGTCGCTGCATGGCACCAAGTCCACGCTGCTGCTGCCCCACCTACTGTTATTGCGCCCCAAGGAGCAGCCCCTACTGCCATACGGCAGCAACAGCTCCAGCTGAGTCCTCATCGCCAACACGCCAAGTGCTACGTGGATGCGGCTTACCACGGTGGTTCCGACAAAGCAACGGCAGGTACGGTGCTTATAGGAGGAGATAGACACTTTATCTCAGCATTTGCCGCGCCATTACCACATTGCTACTCCCCTATAATGGCAGAGGCTTATGCCTGCAAGGAGGCCTTATCTTGGTTACGTGATCGTGGAGTACAATCGGTTGAGCTATTAACGGATTGTCAGACGTTACAGAAATATTTAACACCACCATATCAATTAGCAAGATCGTATACTGGCTATGCGCTTGATGGATGCAGAAACCATATTGCTACATTTACATATTGCCATGTTCATTTTATTCCTAGATCGCAGAATTATTTAGCACATAGTTTAGCAGCTTCGGCTTTTCATTATGACATAGCTATGTATTGGGATGATATCCCACCAGACGCTATTTCAGCTTATCTATGAATACAACCCAGTGGTTGACCTTCAAAAAAAAAATAAAAAAAAATAGCAACATCAACAACAACAAGCATTCCAAAATGAAAATATTTATAAGCCACGCACATTTCAAACCCTTTTTCTTAAATTGGACGATCACTTTTAACAATGATAGTCTAGTGACTTTACACAAGAAATTTACAATCTTCCCTTTCTCTTTCTTATTTATCTATATTCACTTTCTTTTTCCCCTTCAAAATAAAAACAATACCACAATCACATTGAATGACAATTTGCTGCAGTTCTAGTATGATATTACATTGCAATAGTATAAATTTTACCCCGTGAAAGTATACTTCTTAGACCAAAGATAACTCGCAATCGTAGCTCTTCCTGTAAAAACGAATCAATGGTAAATAAAGAATCAGACATCTTTCTTGTTATGAAGATGGACATAGTTGCAGTAAAATCTATGTCCCTTTACTCTTAGTCCCTAGTAAAACTGTAAATCTTACCACATATACTTGTTCCATTGCTTCCTCTCGAAACAATTAAACAGCATATACCCTTATCACTTGATCAATCTTGGCACGACAGACGGGGCAACCCCACTTCTTTGCCTTAATCTCGGCCAGACAAGACATGCACCCAGCCATATGGCCACATGGGATGCAAGCGCCCTCGGCTGGAGCATCCAAGCATACGACACATGAAGAAGCATCGGATTGATCTTTGTCTTCGTGTGGTTTAGCAGCAACATTCTCGACGGGTTGTGAAGAAAGATCGACAGGGGTAGCATCAATTGATGGATAATGGATGGGACCGTCGTCCATTTCCTCGTCTGTAATGGTGGGAGCTGAGGGGATGGGTGGGGGAACAGGGCTCTCGACCATTGTTTGGATGACGGAAGCCTGGCTATGCTGAATCTCATTGCTGCATGGACCAGCTTTTTCGAATTCACCGCTTCCCTTTTGGGGAGTAGAAGTCACCAGATCAGAGGTATTCGTTTGAACGGTAAGTATCACGGGGTTGGTATGACTTGTCGAGGCAACTGCTCCAGGTCCTGTGTGTGTATTTAGGAGAGGCGGTCTTTCATGGGTAGCAGGCTGCATGGAGGCGCTGAGAGCCATAGCCAACTCCAAGTCCTCTAAGGCAGGGGGGGCAGTTGCTGGAAGAACAGGGGCTTGGGGATTGAAGGGAAACGCCGAGTGAGTGACCTGGATTAAAACCAATAATTAGAGATTCCAAAACCCACATAGCACAAATCAGAATGAGTTGTTTTCTTCGGTAAATGAGTTGGGAATGGTTGAAGGCCCGACAATGCTTAGGATGCAACATGATTCACGATAGTAAAATTTCCAGAATGTTGAAGAGTTTCTCGAGAGAAGATTAGGCTTTCACCTGTGGAATTCCTTTGCATGCATTGCAAAACAACTGCAACTGTTGTTTTTCACTTTCTTGTACAGCTCCAAGTTTAACCCGTACTTCTGCAATGAATGTTTAAATTACAGTGAGTAAAATTATCAAGCAAATAAAAACCGGTGCTCTCTCCTGGCTCCAACTATCCATTGATGGTCCAGCTGAACAAAAAAAATACAATCCGAACGCTATAGGAAGTTTCTAAGCATGGCTGTATGTGTAAGATTCCAAGATGGATCAAATTTTAGGAAGATCAAATTATTCAAAGGCACGGTCCACCTTAACAAATTTGCATTTCTAACAAAGCCAGAACTTTCCTAACGACCTTCAGAATTTCTTGGAGCTCCTCTAGCACCTTTCTATAATAGGGTTTTAGCTACTTCACAATTAATTTTTAATTGTACTTACGCCTAGCTCCTCGAGGTCCATGCCTCGGAAGTTGGGAGGCCATGATACCTCTCCTTCGCCTCCAGCGCCTTGGGACTATGCATGAAATAGGGGAAGCAATTATCTACCTAGATTGGCATTTAGGAAAAATTAAGATTAACTTGATTATGGTCAAAGATAAGAGAATTACTGTTGGAAACATCTGATATAATCACTATTGGATCAGACTGACTAAAATTGGGTTCCTCCAAATTGGCCTTCCACAGTGCAACAATTGTGCGGGGTTGAGCATCCTAGTCAAAGAAATGTCACAGAAGTTTAAGAAAAAAAAAAAAAAAAAAAAAAAGAGGAAGAAAAGTGATAAAGCATTAAAATTTCGACAACATGACACATTAAAATTTTGCATACCTGTGCACTTGCATACATAGCAAGCTCCAACTTGAAGGGCTTCCTGAGATTTCGGGAACCACATGGTAAAACAACCACCCAACTGGAAAAGTTATTAGAACAAACATTTCAGGTCGTCCTAATAAATACAACAATAAATCATATACTAAGCAAAACAATGTAAGATAAAGCAACCATTTGTCCGTGTTGTAAGTAGACATATAGTAAAAAGGCTGATAAACTGATACATGCTTGGGACCAGGATTTTAGGAAGTCTTATTTTATTATATTACATAGTTTAGATATTAATAAATTACTAAATAGTTGTTTAGAAACTAATAAATAGTTATTTAGAAATTACTAAATAGTTACTTAACTTATTATTCTTAGTCTTCGAATTAATTTAGGTAGTTTAATTATTTAGAAATAAACTTGAAGATTTCAGCAGATTACTTAGCTTATTTAGCCATTCTATGAGTTGTATACTTGTATTTTACCCTATAAAAAGGGAGTATTATTGAGAATAATGCAAGCAGGAATTGAATCCCAAAAAGGGTCTAAGGGAGTTTTGGGTCTCAAGCAAACCCAGTGTTTTCTTCTCTTTATTTTCCAATTGTTATTCTCTATTCAATTTTCCTTATGTTTTCTTGCCCGTGACGTGAGAACACAACATTGGTTCCGTTGCCGGCGTCATGGGCATCACTCAGTCGGAGTTTGAAGCTCTCACAGAAATAGCGACTGTGTTGAAACACTTAGACAAAGTTTTACGCAAATTTTCCGCTGACCTGAAGGACTTGCTTCCGCCGATTCTCTCCAAAATTAAGCAAACAAAGGATGCGGCTACTTCACTTGAATCATCAACAATCATTGTTGACCACCCACATGTGGAGATAGTGCCGATGCAGGCCAACGTTTCAGTCGATCAGCCTCATGTTGATTCAACACAAAAGGCTGCTGACTCTACTGAAATTGAGGTTGTGCCCTTTCCAAAAACCATCCTATGCTTGAGAGGGTTATTTCACCACTCTCCAACCCCATCTCATTTAAGGGTTGTGTTGTACGGTATTGGTCAGCCTTCATCTCTGGTGTCTCTCTCATCATCCAATGTTGCTGTTCCAACTAAATCCTTCAAAGGATGTCCAAGTTTGGGGTCTTCCTCACCACTATTTGCTCCTCCATTGATATGTAGAATGCCAGTTGAGTTTCTTCCATTTGTACTTCTTTTGAGGAGGCCATTTGATCGTGGGAGGTGTTGGCTACAGCTGCACGAGGTTATCAAGCTTGAGGACAAGCTTGTGGTCCAAGAGGGGAGTAATGATACATGCTTGGGACCAGGATTTTAGGAAGTCTTATTTTATTATATTACATAGTTTAGATATTAATAAATTACTAAATAGTTGTTTAGAAACTAATAAATAGTTATTTAGAAATTACTAAATAGTTACTTAACTTATTATTCTTAGTCTTCGAATTAATTTAGGTAGTTTAATTATTTAGAAATAAACTTGAAGATTTCAGCAGATTACTTAGCTTATTTAGCCATTCTATGAGTTGTATACTTGTATTTTACCCTATAAAAAGGGAGTATTATTGAGAATAATGCAAGCAGGAATTGAATCCCAAAAAGGGTCTAAGGGAGTTTTGGGTCTCAAGCAAACCCAGTGTTTTCTTCTCTTTATTTTCCAATTGTTATTCTCTATTCAATTTTCCTTATGTTTTCTTGCCCGTGACGTGAGAACACAACATAAACCAAGCAAGAGAGGCCTTAGTATACCATCTTGAGTAATTGGGTCACTCCATTTTGTTATCATAAGCTAGCTTTTAGGGGCAAGGCTCGAGTATGAAGGAATGCATGTTTTTGAGAAATCAATGTTACTGACAGACTATGAAGCCAGAATGCAAGGATGCAAGAGAAGGAACACATCAAACCAAGACATCGCATAGGCATCATACAATAAAAGAACACTTAGGTATTGTACCCACACTTTTCTCGAAAGCAACTGTGGTGCAAGCAGATCAAGAAATCCTGGCCCATAAAGCTCCCTTAGCCAACCAGAGAATAAACAGATGTGGCTCTACAGAGGCATTAAACAGATAAGTTAAGTAGTACATTAGTATACAAAAAAAAAAAAAAAAAGACAATCGTAATATAGCACAAATTAACTTCCTAAACCATGAGACACAAAAAGGTACCTCAATTGCCCTGACAACATTGCTAAACCCCTTGATTCTTGCAACATCCAGTGGAGTTTGACAGTCATCATTCATCACCAAAGCATTTGCTAAAATCCATATAAATATGAGTCGTAAAAAAAAAATTGTTTTTCATTAAATATTTCATTTTCTGCAGAAGCACATTCAGTTCTTACTACACACCTCCATGTGAAAGAAGTAACTTGACAGTCTGTTCAAGGCCTCTTTTTGCAGCATGATGTAAGGGAGTACCAGCATGGCGACCTAGAAGAATAGCATAAAATTGAATATTGCCTATGTGTTGGGCAAGGAGTTTTAGCAAGAAATCAACAAAAGAAACCAACTTCAAAATATTATAATTCCATATCATGCATTAGGGCCTATATCATCAGGCTGTTTGAAAGACCTTGAGATTATTAACTTTTACTTAATACAAAAGATTATTATTCTGACTGAATGACTGTAATTACAAACTTAATAATTAGCTATTAGTTGCTTAAGGATAAGTTGTAAACATAATGAACTAGCTTAGATCTTATGAGCTCTTTTGAACCATGCTTATTTTTTAGCCATAAGTTGTGTTAAAATAGTAGAGCCATCAACCAATGAACCAGCTAAAAGAAAATGTGTCAAATTGCCAT